GTGTCATGACGATAACTACGTATGTCTGAAGGTATGGCTTGAGCTTCTAGGTTGCAACAATTAGCATCAAAATCAAAATTTTGATTTTCGGGTATCTGGCTTCCGCATCAAGGAGAGCTTTTAAATTGTGGAATATAGGTGGTTGGCCCCTCAGCTTTTCTTGTATTAGGGTACAACTCATTGATGTTTCAGATACCGCCATATAGACGTATAGATCATTCGTTACTTTTGGCTTAAATTACATCGGTCGGTAGGTCGCGAGAGGAATTAGCTGAATGCAGCTGCTCGTAAAGTCATACATTGGATCTTCTTCAAAGTGGTGAGGGACTTCATATCCAGGATCACTTAGATCTTCTTTGGATGCGCATTCGGCGTGGTCAGACCATTGCTTAGGGTCAAGGAAGATGTGATCGACGTCTTCTTCAAGTTTCTATCCTAATTCATCTGTTAAAGCATTGTCGACCTTGACGCCATATTCTTGACCTACCTGCTATAATTGTTATTTGGCGGAGGTAGAATTATCTTTCTGCACTTTAGCTGCTACTGCTGGGGCGAAAGACTTCTTATTCGACTCCTTGAGAACTTGGTGTATGATTTGGGTACCGTGCCTTCTTTCATCTGGGATATGTCTCTGCATTTGCTTCCTGGCCTGTTTTTGTCATTGAGCGGTTTATCACATGCCTTCTTCTGAGTTGGCTCTGTGTCTTTGCACGGCTATTCATGCGGCTTCTGAAAGCATTTTTCCTCATCCCAGAGGGACTGCTTTTCTGCCAAAGTATAAGAGTTTGCCAGGGTCAAGTTCTCACCCATGATCAATTCTCTGAAAAATGGGTGATTTGCTAGGAGCCCTTTTTGGAAAGCTAAGCATGCAATGCTGTCATCACATCCGACGATCTTTGCCTTCTCCACTTTGAATCTCTTGACGTAAGTGCGGAGTGACTCATTCGGGTCATTCTTCATGTTGAAGAAGTGGTTAGACTTCTTTTTGATCGAGCGGTAGGACGAATAGTCCTTAGTGAAAATCAAGGAAAGTTCACTGAAGTTCTAGATTGAACGTGGTGGCAGGGCATGAAACCAGTTTTGCACTTCGCCTTAGAGCATAGAGAGCCATGACACTTCGGTAGTGCATCAAGTGCCTGTCCGGATCTTCATCTCTTTTGAATAAGGTGAAATGTGGCGGGTTGAACTTCTGTGGTGGCTCTGTCTGCTCGATCTCGTATGTAAATGATGACCTGTTTAGGTTGGCCACATCTCTACGGAGGGCATCGTAGGTAGTATCAATGCGTTGGAATCCGTACAGCTGTTCTGCTACAAGCCTTTGTACTTCATCTTGGATTTGCACCTGGTGGGACAACAGAGCCTCTAACTGCCCTCAGTGTTGACCTGTCGGTCTATGTTGCTATTCGGCTTATCCTACTCGTCTATGCCGCGATTGTGGTGCACATGGTTCACTTTGTACTACTCTTCATTGTTCTGGGCGAGGGCTGCCAGTGGAATTTGAGCTGGACTGATCACTTGCTTTTCTTTAGGCGTCATGCGGCTGCCTACTCCATTGCCTAGTAGGAGTGTAAACGTTTTATCTGGAATGTCCTGAGTACTCGTCGGAGTGTTGACCCAACCTCGAATGCATACTGACTCGTGAGCCGAGTAGGGAATGAATGCTTCTCTATGCATTTAGGCAGGAAAATATGTTTCCCCAAAGGCCCAAATGAGAGTGCACACTACCCGAATGTATGGTTCGTGGTGGGCTAAATGGCTTTTTTCTACGACGTCGCTGGAATGAGTCACGTTCTTCCGCCCTTATCCTACTTCGGGACACCTCATCTAAGGCGCACTGCATCTCGATGCGCTCGAGGAGTTGGTTCACCAAGGTGGTCTGCTGCGCTTGGGCGTTCATCAAATTGGCAACCTGCTGGGGCAGGTGGCATTTGCCATTTGGATTAGAAGAGCTTGGATGATGGGCTTCTCCATGTATGGTGGAAGTGTAGTGGACTGCAGGTACAAAGCTTTAGCCCAAAACGGGCATTCCTACAGAAAAGTGAGGTGTAAGTAACCCTGAATCGATTGCGGGACCTGTGGTTAGAATCTGGATCGCTGAAGGTGGCCTTGGAATGGATTGGGTCGTGGGCCGGGTCGTCGGATCAAGTCTCGGGGCGCGTTGGACCGACACCTGCTAGCCTTGGATCTGCATGGTCGTGGGCCTTCCTGGCCGTTAGGCTGCCACATCCTTACCTGTTGGCTGAGTGGCTTGGCTTAAGCCCGTTGAGCTGTCGAATTCTGGGCTCGGGTTCGAGCTTGTTATGTAAGAAGGCCTACTGCTGCATTGGGCTGAGCCTCCTGCCTAAGGCTTACTGTGGTAGCTGCTAAGTTCTGGGCCTTCTGCCTAGGGTTTAGTATGAGTGGTGCCTTAGCCGTTAGGTCATAGTGGTGATGGTGATGGCGCGGCTCCGCGGCAGTAAGGTTTCTCCTGCCATTGCGTTAAGCCTTGAGGATCTCCGTCGTGGGGCTATGTTCTTATCTTCACTCTGCTGTTCAAATCCTTCCACGTATGAGTTTCCATTCGTAATAGTTTTTGAATTTCCTACCATTGTATCATTTCTCCAGGGATTGATCAAGAAACTTTTCTAGGAAAAATTAATTGATACGACGTATGAGAAATTCAACGTAACAGAAAATTCAAAAAACTAATGTGAGAGGCTTCTTCAAGTGTTTTGAATCAACTCTCAATGAAAGCACCAATTTGTCGATGCAAATTTTCATCGTCTTCAGTCTTGACGAAAATGCACTTGCAAAACAATCAACACCTTTGATTAGAGACCTAAGCATCACTCGCCCACAAGGTTTTGAGGGGGGGGGGAGGGGGTTAGGTCAACGGATCTTCGATGTCTAAATTAGTTTCTCTGAGAGAGTAAAGTGTTTAGGGCTTTTTAGGGTGGCAAAAGCTCTCAAAATTTGTTAGAATATGGGGTATTTATAGGGCTAGGGCCAGCCATATAGTGTTTATTGGAGATATATTCTCTAAATATTCCCAAGATATTTAATAGGAGATAATATCTTGAGATAATGGGGTAATTATCCCTAATTGATTTAATTAGGATTACTTACTTGATTTGAGTCAATCTTCAATTAGGAATGTATTAAAGATAGGATTTGGGTAATTAATCCTTATCTTTAAGTCCTTGCCAAGGGTAGGTGAGTTGTGGGTAGTTGTGTTCAGCTGTTGAGTCCTATTGGGATGTGAGCTGCGCATGGGAGCATCTGAGAAGCATGCCCATTTATTTAGGGCAATCTTGTCTTTCTTGAATAAAAGTCCACTTGTCACCTCTAGAATTTTTTGAGATTATTTTAGGCTCCACAGAAATGACGTAAAAGTTTAAAACAGAGATGACGAAATCTATTGCTTTTTAATTTTAATTTCGTTACGTTTAAAAACATATTTGGTGTTCCTTCTTCTATTTGTCTATCGTTTTCTTCTCTTAGAATACGTATTTTCCAAAAAGTTGAGAAGGAAATGAAAAACCAAAAGACCCCCAAAAATTAAATTTTTTTTTGACAAAAAAAAAGTTTGCTTGTAGGGGCCACTCAATATTATAGACTTATGGTAGTCATCTTTATTTGTAAATGAGAGGTCTTAAGTTCGAATCTTGTAAATAACGAATTCGTACCAAATTAGGTTGTTTATTGTTTGGTTTATGAAAACTTTAAATGTTAACCAAAAGTCATATACTAACTTTATTTAATGGTTAGGACAAAGCCCAATATTAAATCAATTCAATTAAAATGGCCCAAACAATATTTTCTAGTTTTTCTAACAGCAACTCACACACACACACACACACGGAGAGTTAGAGAGAGCGAAGAGCCGTTAAACCCTAAGGTCCCAGCCATGTCGCTCATCGCAATTCGCAAATGAGGCATTGCAGCATATTATGCGTGTGTTGAATACCAACGTGGATGGAAAGAAGAAGATCATGTTTCGCCATTACCTTCATCAAGGGTATCGGTAGACGTTTCGCCGACATCGTCTATAAGAAGGCTGATGTCGACATGAACAAAAGGGCTAGTGAGCTATCTGCTACCGAGCTCGACAATCTATTGACTATTGTGGCAACCCCCTCCCTCAGTTGAAGATCCATGACTGGTTCTTCAACAGAAAGGACTACGAGGATGGTAAATATTCCCGGGTTGTCTACAAGGATGGATATTATGGTGTTTCAGTGTTCATCATTTCCAACTTACTCTCTTCATTCCCATTCTTGGTTACAATTACTCTTATTATTTGGGGAAATTTGGACCAGATGATAGCGAGCCTCATGATGGTTTTAGCTTCTCTGGTTCCCAATTTCCTAATGGGTATTATAACATTCACTAGTAAAAAAAACACTTTGCGCGACGCAGGTCCTTCGTCACGCAAAGTCAAAAAAATGTCGCGCAAAACTTAGCGCAACGAACCTTCGTCACGCACTAACCGTCGCGGCAAGGCAGTGACAAAAAGGTTTGCACGACGAAGAAGAAACATGCGTCGCGCAAAGCCACTTTGCGCGACGTAGGTTGCGTCGCGCAAAGTGACTTTGCGCGACGTAGGCTGCGTCGCGCAAAGTAACTTTGCACGACTCAAGGACATACGTCGCGCAAAGATAATTTGCGCGACGCAGCCTACGTCGCACAAACCTTTTTCTTTTTTTGGCAAAAATATTTTTTATTTAATTTTTAATAAATATTGTAATTAATTTCTAAACAATAATTAATAAACCAAGAAAAAATATTTAATTATAAAATATATGAAAATGTACATACAAGATGTCCAAACAAAAAAGAAAAAACTACAACAAGTAGTCTTCTAGGTTTGATACATCAGGCTACTAGATATCGGCTGGGCGAAGCAGCTAGGAGGTCAAAGGTGAAGCAAGATCAGGTGCTGGCATCGGGATTTGGATGCCGGACATCTGTAAGGCCCGTAAGATCATGCTATCTCTCGTCTTGGGCGGAAAACTGGGCAGCAATCTGGGCTTCCCGAGCATCCCATGCTGCTTCTTGGGCAACAATCTTATCTTTTAGGGATTCCACTTCCTCCGTCAGGGCAATGACATGTCCTTATATACACAAGCTATAAATCCAAAGTAAATTGCATCATCAAAATGAAGTAGTTGGCATGAAACGAATACACAAACTGTAATAAATACCATACCAAATACTTTGAAATAAGCTATCAAACAGAGCCATTATTGACGAAACAAAAGGAGTACCACGTTGTTTAACATTTATTTTTGAACTACTCAAGTTTAGTATAAACAGATCCACTAAAGGTTATTTGTAATCAATTAACTTCAACTTTGAGCGAACAATTACAAGTTGACACACTCCAACATGACTATAGTACAACACTAAAGACTTTGGCTTGAATACGTAAGCAAAGGAGTAGGACACAATACCTGTAAAATGCGGATGCCACACATTTATAGCAGTCCACTTACATGACTTGGAGGGATGTGCTTCCCACTAAGCAGATCTAGAAGGACGGTGCCAAAGCTATAAACAACACTTTCTGGAGTGACCCTTCCTACAAAGTAAATAAACAACCAGTAAAGTCAGAATATTTCAAGCAGAAGTTTAGATAGGAAAACTAGAATAGTGACAAGAAAAATGATCAAAGGGATAGGTGATATCTAGGCTAGAGAAGTTATTACCATTTCTTAAATATTTAGGTGGCGTGTAAGCAAGATTTGTGCTGTAACTCTTCCCATCCCTAATATTTCTCATCAAGCCAAAACATGAAAGACAAGGATCACCATCCTACAAGTCCATTCAGATACCACATTATCACCCTAAAAAGTAGTGAACACTGAAGTGACTGAAAACACATTTTAAACTAAGATGATTGAATTTGAGAATCGAATACCTCGTCAAAGAGAACCCTATAAGCATTCAAATTGTGGTATAACGGGCGCCCTCAGTACTGCAATAATCTAAAGCTTCAGCAATATAAAGAGCCACTCTTAAACGCATGGCCTACTCAATGGTTTGATTCTCCCCTGTATAAACAAGCAGAGCCCAAAAATTAATTTTTGACGAACACAGCAACTAATTCTCAATTTGTAGGAACAAAACTCAAAACATTGAATTGATTGATTATGCAAAACTTAATAAAATAGCAGTACAAAGACAAGCACAGTACTAGTACACTAGATACCAGAGTATACTAAAAAGTAAAAACCACCTCGCCACAACTTCTCCAAATGAAAGGCAATGTTTAATATCATCTGGGATTAACAAAACTACAAGGTAAGAATCATAAGATTACTGGCCAACTAAGATCAATGACCGAACCATTAACAAAAAAAAAAACAAAGGTTAATGGAATGTGTCATGTTGTAGAAAACTAATGTCAATACCATCTTGCATTTCAATGTTTGCTTGTTAAAAAGCTATGTATTTAGACGTACTTCATAAAAGAGTCACTGAGAAATCTTAGAAGCTGAGCTAAAAATAGCATTCTTAATAAACCAGGTGAAGTCGAAAGACGAATAGTAAATAAAGATAGAATTTGTTTGACATACAGTGGAACAAATGCTTAGCCAAAGTATCAGTAGCCATGTACTCAGCAACAAGCAGCCTCTCATCCCCATCACAGCAATACACAAACAAATTTGCAAGCCGCCGATGCCGCAACTTATCCACACCCAAAGCTTCCTCCTGCAAAACCAAAACCCACAAATCATTCATACACCCAATTCACAAAACGAACTTTTGTAAATTTTACAGCAACCTATTTCCAGAAATTCATAATACCAAGAAACACTTTACAACATACCAAATTCTACTACCCTATAAATTTACAGCAACCTATTTTGAAATCTAATTACACAAACTAAAATTGAAATCTGAATTCCAATTTTGATGTACCTAAAATTGAAATCTAATTACACAAACTAAAATTGAAATCTGGACCTAGCAAAACATTGAGAGAGAGATGTGAAGGGACCTTCGGAATTGAGAAACGGAGAGGAATTCCAACGGAGGGTGGAGCGGAGGAGGAGCAGATGAGTGTGTAGTGGCTGGGTCTTCCTTCGTCTTTGTCTTCGTCTAACGGAGTGGGAGAGAAGAGCGAGACAAAGTGAGAGAGAGGGCGAGATGAGCGAGAGGGAAGAGAGAGACCGAGTGAGAGAGAGGGTAGTGTCTGGACACTTCCAATTGCACCTCTATTATGAGTAATTTGGGAAAAATTTAAAAACAGCGCCTATTTTTTTCACTTGGAGCGCCAAAATTTTAACAACTTGCACGACGCATTGGTTTGTGCATCCCGCAAGGTAATTTTATTTTAAAAAATATATTATAAAATTTACTGAAAATTTAACTTTATTTCCTTCAATTTTTTTTTTTTTACATAAAACTCACAATAATATATTTTTCTAACAAAAATCCGATCCAAACTACAATAATAAATTTAAAACTACTTAATATATATATATATACACCATTTAATTTCTTAAGTGTTATACGTACAAAATAAATAAATTTAAAACTACTTAATATATATATATATATATATCATTCAACTTGATGGGATACGCATTCTACTAAACTCGTTTCAAAGATCCAACCGTCAAACTTATCTGTATAAACTTCGAGATCGCATACGCCCAAAATCGTAAAAAACAAACATTCAAAGATCAAGTAAATGGACAAAACTTTTCAACGGTTATAAACGAAAAATCACGATCTAACAGTTATTTTAACTCCGATTTTGATGATTTTTTACAGGTACACTCTTTAAACCTATATGAATACAATGAACTAATTCGATCGTCAATTTAAAACATTTACACAAGTGCATACTACAAAATCTTATGTTATATTTGATGAAAGTATAAATAAACTCCAAGTGTTAGTGAATCTATTGTTTTGATGGGAAACGCATTGTACGAAATTAGTTTCAACGATCCAACCGTCAAACTTGTTTTTATATAATTCGAGATCGCATAGGCCAAAAATCGCACAAAACAAACATTCAAAGATCAAGTAACGGGACAAACCTTTTCGATGGTTTATAAACAAAAAATCACGATTTAACGGTAGTTTTAACTTCGATTTTGATGATTTTTTACAGCTACACTCCTTGATCCTATATGAATACAATGAACTAATTCGATCGTCAATTTAAAACATTTACACAAGTGGATACCACAAATCTTATGTTATAGTTAATGAAAGTATAAATAAAAGTGCTAGTGAATCTATTGTTTTGATGAGATACACATTGTACAAAACTAGTTTCAACGATCCAACCGTCAAACTTGTTTGTGTATGCTTCGAGATCGCATACGCCAAAAATTGCAAAAAAAAAAACATTTAGAGATCAAGTAACGGGACAAAACTTTTCGACGGTTATAAACAAAAAATCACGATTTAACGGTTATTTTAACTCCAATTTTGATGATTTTTTATAGCTACACTCCTTGATCCTATATGAATACAATGAACTAATTTGATCGTCAATTTAAAATATTTACACTAGTGGATATCACAAAATCTTATGTTATACTTAATGAAAGTATAAATAAACTCCAAGTGTTAGTGAATCTATTGTTTTGATGGGATACCACATTGTACGAAACTAGTTTCAACGATCCAACCGTCAAACTTGTTTGTACATGCTTCGAGATCGTATACGCCAAAAATTGCAAACAACAAACATTCAGATATCAAGTAACGGGACAAACCTTTTCGACGGCGATAAACGAAAAATCATTATTTAACGGTTATTTTAACTCCAATTTTGATGATTTTTTACAGCTACACTCCTTAACCCTATATGAATACAATGAACTAATTCGATAGTCAATTTAAAACATTTACACAAGTGGATACACAAAGAAAAAGACAATGCAAGAACCCCAAAAGAAAAGCAAAAGGCCCAAAAAAAAAAAAACTTTGCGCAACGTAGGTACCCCTACGTCGCACAAAACATCTTTGCGCGACACAAGGGTACCTACGTCGCGCAAAGTTTTTTTTTAATATGTATTTCCCTTTTGCTTATAAACTAATTCGATCAACGAATTAAAACATTTACAAAAGTGAATACCACAAAATCTTATGTTATACTTAATGAAAGTATAAATAAACTCCAAGTGTTAGTGAATCTATTGTTTTGATGGGAAACGCATTGTACGAAATTAGTTTCAACGATCCAACCGTCAAACTTGTTTGTACATGTTCGAGATTGCATACACCAAAAATTGCAAAAAAAAAAAAAACATTCAGATATCAAGTAACAGAACAAACCTTTTCGACGGCGATAAATGAAAAATCACGATTTAACGGTTATTTTAACTCCGATTTTGATGTTTTTTACAGCTACATTCCTTAACCCTATATGAATACAATGAATTAATTCGATCGTCAATTTAAAACATTTACACAAGTGGATACAACAAAAGAAAAAGGCAATGCAAGAACCCCAAAAGAAAAACAAAAGGCAAAAAAAAAAAAAAAAAAAAAACAAAAAGGCAATGCAAGAACCCCTACGTTTTTTTTAAAAAAAATATGTATTTCCCTTTTACTTATGAACTAATTCGATCAACGAATTAAAACATTTACACAAGTGAAAACCACAAAAGTAAAAGGCAATGCAAGAACCCCAAAAGAAAAGCAAAAGGAAAAAAAAAAAAAAACACTTTGCGCGACGTAGGTACCCCTACGTCGCGCAAAACAGCTTCACACGACGGAGACATACGTCGTGCAAAACATCTTTGCGCGACGTTTGGGCACTAGCGTTGCGCAAAGTTAGGAAAAAAGTGGTAAAGCATCTTGATTTGGTGCCAAAACTTTGAGCGACGAAGCCTGGCGTCGCGCAAAGCAGTTTTGGCACGACGTTTGCACAAAGGCAGTTTGCATGACGTTTTCTATGTAGCGTCGCGCAAACATACTTTGCGCGACGAAATTTGCTTCGTCGCGCAAACATGTTTTTGTACTAGTGATTTAAGCATCCTGATGATGACCTCGGGTTTCTTCTGCTTGCTACCTGATCTTCCCATGCCGTTTGGGATACCAATAGACCACTCCGACTGGTGGGACTTGGTTGTTCTATTCCCATGTGGTCTTCGACACTACAGGGGCCTTTGTGTGCATGGACAGAGATTTGTGGTTTTTGAAGAAGCGACATTGGAGAGGAAAAAGAAGGGAATGATACACGTTAAGTTTCATAAACAGTGTAGTAAGTTTCATAAATAGTATAGTAAGTTTCCTAAACAGTGTCGTATTTTTCATAAATAGTGTTGGAAGTTTCATAAACAGTGTCGTAAGTTTCATAAATAGTATAGTAAGTTTCCTAAACAGTGTCGTAAGTTTCATAAACAATGTCGTAAATTTCATAAACAGTATAGTAAGTGTCCTAAACAGTGTCGTAAGTTTCATAAACAGTGTAATACCGTTCACTTTCATAAACAGTTTGTGAGATTATTTTTAAAAAAATTTAATATTAAAATTATGTCTTTTTCATTAAAATTTAAGTTCTTTTGTCATTTTTATTAACATTTAAGGGTTTTTCATTAAAATTGAAGTCTTTTTAATTGACTAAAGTTATAGCATGGTTTTTTTTTTATTATTAAAACTAGCATATGGGCAAACAAAGTGTGTGTGAAATTTTTTTATTTTTGTTTTTGAAATAGAATGAGAGAGAAAGAGGGTGATAGAGAATGTGGGTGTGGGAAGTTTGTTTGTTTGTTTTTTTTTTTTTAATTAGAGATAAGTTATGATTACTTGTAGGTGATGCTTTGAAAAAAAAAATAGCAAAATTTGGTTCGGTGAGAAATACATTTATGCTCATATTTCTTATTCATGTTCTGTTTTAGTTAGAGGGTTAAACTGATAATTTTATTGAATTTTGGTTGACAATAAGTGTTTTATTAATTAGTAGAGATCTCAAATCCTTTTCATGAAAGTTCCCTAAAAAATTGAGCGATGTTATGCCCACCCCTCAACCCTCTTTTCACACCCACTTTTTAATAATAAATTTAATGTCATAGGCCATTTGTGAAATGACTTTTAAAACCCTAATAAAAATGAACCCTAATCGATTTTTTCAGCTAGAAAACATTTAAAAAAAAAAAAGAAGTGAAAGAACAATGTGTTATTTCTGAAGAAGAATATGAGAAGCCATGAACAATCCCATCTGAGAAGAATATTAGAAGCTCGAGCCACGCATCCAAGCAATGTTAACAATTGGAAGCAAACAAAACTGAAAATTAGAAGAAAAGGGAATATCCCAGCAACCCCTTCCCCCCACCCCCAAAACCCATGAGCCAGAGCCACTCCCAAACCAAATTGACTTCTGACTGCAGCCATCCTCTTTTTTCTGCAACCCTAATCATTTTTCTTTCTCCATCTCAATCAAACTCAATTCAACTGAAATCGTCATTATCGGTCTGTGAACAATTACAATTCCATCGAGGAATTCAAAAGGTTGGGCCACATTTCAAGTACATTGGCCCAACAAGCTATAACCATCTGTCCAACCTCATATGTCCAAATATATTTGCCCAGAAGGCAAACATTCCGAAAGTAAAACGACACGTCGCTATCACTGCGAGCACGTGTACGTTTGGATGTCGGCCAAGAGTCGAAACGCTCGATGATGTGGCAACCAACCATGAAACGCAAGGCGGCCAGAGACTGTGGGACCACCCACACGGGCGTCGATTCGTATGCCACGTCACCAGAATATCTGTCGTTTTTGGAGGAGGAGACTTTCCTTCTGGTCTGGTGATAATAAGACAACACGGACACGATAGGGACCATAACCACAAACTCCACAAGGAAGGGGGTGGGTGGAAGTGGAGAGAATTTCAGGTATGGCGGGCCCATAACTTACACTTTAGGATCATCTTCAACCGAAAAGGTTAAATATAGTTCTGTCTAAAATATAATTGTACAAAAAATTATTTTTACATGAATAATATCAGACCATATTTGTATAATGTCTCCAACTGAAGGGGCTAAACAAAACTTCCTCAAGAATTTATTAGTTTTAAGTTGATCCAGAATGTTAAATTAATTACTTGCAGTAGCCACCACTCTAGATAAAATAACAAAAATTTCAAATCCATTAATCATCTGAATGGAAACAACAACTTAGATATTTTTATTTTCTTTGCAGTTGGTGGGATGTTGAATTCTCTAC